CTAGTAATAATAATGAGAATGATCCCTTTAAAACATAGCTCATGCGATTTATGAGGGAAATAACTGCCCGAATGGATCAAATTCCAGGCACGCCACCAATATTAAAAGGACCAGATTCAAAGAAGTATACCTAGCTACCGTTCAAGCCGAGCGCAACACCAAAGTTGATCCCGAAGCGGTTCAAAATGCCAGATTTTCCAAAGTACTATGGGACTTCGGATCTTCAAGAGTATATCACCACCTATACAATGGCGGTGACGGTAAATGATTTGACTCCGCATGAGATTGAGTCAGTCTTATTGAATAAATTCGAGGACACCCTCATAAAGGGGGCCCTGTCATGGTATTCACTCTTTCCCGAACATTCTATAGATTCCTTCGAGATGCTCGCGGATTCTTTCATCAAGGCCCATGTCAGGGCTAAAAAGGTACATGCTCGAAAGGCCGACATATTGAGAATTGCACAAGGAGAGTCCAATTTGCTGCGGGAGTTTGTGACAATATTCCAGAAGGAAATGATGTTTCTCCTGGCCATATCAGACGAATGGGTCACTCAAGCATTTACTAAAGGGTTGAATCAGAGAAGTTCTAATGCTTCTCTAAAATTGAAAGAAAGTCTGCTCGAGTTCTAGACAACAAAATGGGCGGATGTTCACAATCAGTACGAGTCATAGATAATAATTGACGATGATCAGCTCGGCTTTCTGCCGTCAACCAAAGGTCGGGACTGGGAAACGAATAAGGAGAAATTGAAGAATAATTTCGACACAGATCGACGTTCTTCAAGGGGTTGGTTTTTGCCCTATGAGCGGGCCGAAGGACGCGGCAGAGGTTTTTGGTCGGCTGATAAATTCACTATAGATGGGAGAACTGATCGCGTGCGGAATAATAAGTCATTGCAGGATAAGGAGACATTGGGTTCTCGAGATGCTTCCTACCCCATACTTTCCGAATACAACTTTAATGTCAGCGTAGTGGAGTTGGTGTCGGCTATGAGGAACATTAAAGAAGAACGGTTCCCAAAGCCAATGAAATTCGATCCTAGCCAAAGGGATCCTAATTTTTGGTGCAAATATCATGGGACTAATGGTCACCGGACATATGATTGTCGGCATCTGCGTGAAGAGGTGGCAACATTACTGAAAAGCGGTCATCTCAGAGAATTCTTAAGCGACCAGGCTAAAAACAACTATAGTCACAATCGTGACAACGCAGAACCTTCAAAAGAATAGAAAGATCCCCCACGCTTGACGATCAACATGATTTTCGGGGGGAACGAGATTAATGATGTGATATTTTCGGAAGCAAAAAGATGAAAGTGTCAGTGACCTACAACAAGAGACTCCGGGAAGTTGCTGAGGACGACATTACTTTCACGGAGGAAGATGCAGATGGACTACTGCTTCCGCACAATGACGCATTAGTAATCTCTCTAAATATCTTAGATTTTAATATTAAACGTGTTCTGGTGGACCTAGGAAGTTTAGACAACATCATCCAATGGAGAGTATTGGAGAAAGCCAAGCTCACCGGAAGTATCATTCTGGCAACAAAACTCCTCACCGAGTTCAACCTAGCAAGCGTGACAACTCGAGGAGAGATCCTGCTTCCCACAAATACCGAGGGGGTGATGAAAACGACCCTTTTCAAGGTGGAGGACGGCGATATGGGCTATAATATTATCCTGGGGAGGCCATGGTTGCATGAGATGAAGGCTGTGCCATCAACACAACATCAGTTACTGAAATTCCCAACTACCGAGGGAATTAAATAAATAAGAGGCGACCAACCGGCAGCAAGGGAGATGAATGCAATTTTAGTTTCCAGTAGCAAATGTAAGAAGCATGCGGCATAGCAATTATAGGAGCCAGCGCTCGGTCCCGAGCCAAGAGAAGTCAACCAGGGGGAGGAGTCATCGGAGTCCTATCAGGTACCAGAAGAAATGGATGCAACAAAATCCACAGTGGAAGAACTTGAACAAGTTGCATTGTTTGAAAAATTCTTGGAAAGGAAATTCCACTTGGGGACAGGGCTACACCCCGAGCTCAGGTCTGGATTTATCAAATTATTTAAATTTAATGTCTATTGTTTTGCATAGTCTCATGTGGATATGACAGGTACCCGCCAGAAGTGGCCGTGCACAAACTAAGCCTAGATCCCAACATCCCTCCAGTAAGACAGAAAAAACATCCTATTGCCGAGGTCAGAAACTAATTTGTCAAAGAAGAGGTAACTCGCTTGCTTGATATCGGTTCAATCCGAGAGGTAAAATATCCTGATTGGCTAGATAACATAGTAGTAGTTCCAAAGAAGAACAATAAATTTCGCATGTGCGTAGACTATAGGATTTGAATAAGGCATGCCCAAAAGACTCGTTCCCATTGCCAAACATTGATCAAATGATTGATGCGACGGCAGGGCATGAGTTAAATGAGTTTCCTTGATTCTTATTCCCAGTATCACCAAATTAATATGAACTTGGAGGATTAGGAAAAAAACTTTGTTCATAACGAAAATCGGCACATATTGTTACAATGTGATGCCTTTTGGGCTAAAAAACGCCTGAGCCACTCACTAGCAGCTCGTAAATAAAATGTTTGAGAAGCAAAATAGGGAAAACTATGGAAGTTTACATAGATGATATGTTGGTTATGTCTTTGAGTGCAGGTGATCATCTTAAACACCTGCAAGAGACCTTTGACATCTTAAGAAAGCACAACATAAAGCTTAATCCCAAGAAATGTGCATTCAGGGTCAGCTCCTGTAAGTTCCAGGGATTCCTTGTGTGGAAAAGGGGGATCGAGGTTAACCCCGACAAAATTAACTCCATCGAATACATCGCGGACCAGCTATCAAGCGTAAAAGAGGTTCAAAGGCTGACAGGGAGATTGACCGCTTTGAGCAAATTCATTTTTCGGTCTTCGGAAAAATGCCATCATTTCTTTGCACTTCTCAAATAGAAGAATAACTTTAAATGGACCACGAAATATCAGTAGGCTTTGAAGGATTTGAAAAGGTTTTTGTCAATTCCTTCATTATTGTCAAAACTGGAGGAAGGCGAACAACTACTTATCTACTTAGCAGTCTCGGAGGTAGCGGTAAGTGTTGTTTTAGTCCGTGACAATAAAGGAATGCAATATCATGTGTATTATGTAAGTTAAATTTTGACGAGAGCAGAAACTCGCTACCCACATTTGGAAAAATTGGCCTTAGCCGTCGTAGTCACCGCTCGAAAGTTAAGGCCTTATTTCTGTTACATCCGGTACTTTTGTACATTGGATTTTCATAATTTAATTGATATAGGTTCAAGGACAAGACTATTTTTGAGGTTATAAGTATTTGTGCTATTTATAGCAAGTGATAAGTATGTGTCGTGAAGGTCAGAGGGTAAATGAGTTGAAAAAAATGAGTTTTGTTGAAGTTTGATATTTTGGGATAAAATACGGTCCAAGTTATAATATCCAGTATTTATGGATTAGTGCTATACAATATATCACATGACCATGATAGTAAAGTATATTCTAGTATGTTAAAAGTGATTAGTATTTAAGTGAAATGAGATTTAGAAATTAATTATGTATTTAATTAATTATATGGAGAATTAGTTAAAGTGTTTGGATAATGTTAAGGAAACAACATGTCCTTGTAGGTCCCACAAGGGGGATGACCTTTATTATTATTAGTAAAGGATAAATAGTGCTAGTAGTAGAACTAGATAAAGATTAGGTAGAATAAACGGGTGGGTACGTGTACAAATTAGGTGAGGTTATAGAATGGGTGTCTAATTTTAGTAGATGACTAGTGCAAGTATATACCAATGTGTGTTTATCTAAATTATCTACACATGGTAGCATCATATATAGATAATATAGGCATCAACATTACATGAAAGACATCAACTTACTTAGATAATACAAGGAAACAATATACTCCCATTGTGGAAATAATTTATTTGAAAATAACTCCATTGTTGGTGGCAACAATTTTGATCATGTTGGGAGCAATTCTTTGGGGGGAACCAAGCATTGGAAGCAAGTATATTTTCATAATTTTGTAGCAACTTTACTTCCCAAATTAATCTTAAGAACACCAAAGAGATTTCTAATGTTTGTTTGATTCCTACAAGCTCGGGGTAGAGCGGGTCGATTCCAGATTATATAAGGTCAAGACGCTAATCAAGATGCGGAATAGGGTTGCTACAAAGCTTAACGAGGTATGTTAAGGCTAAACCTTTTTTCTTTTGGCATGATCCAAGAAACAAAACATAAACGTAATATTATTCCATAATGGTTCTACTCTTAGTAGTTAAGGATGTCTACATTATTCATTCTTATAAAATGTAATACAAAGCATGTCTAAGTATGTTTCTAAATCTTTATTGAGGCATATGATAAAGATGTTAATGTTCATAATGTAATGTTATATGCATCTTTATTTACCACCAAGTTACGGCGGTTGGGCAGTCATGCATCTTTATTTACCACCGAACTATGGCCGGTTGCGCAGTCATACATCTTCATTTACAACCGTGATACGGCCGGTCGGGCAGTCATGCATTTACCATCATGCTACGGTCGGTCGGGCAGTCATGCATTTACCACCATCCTACCGCCGGTCGGGTAGTCATGTATTTACCATCGTGCTATGGCCGATCGGGTAGTCGTGCATTTACCACAGTGCTACGGCTGGTCGGGCAATCACCACTTATCAGTTGGGCAGTTAACGTCATATAATGATGTGTGTGTGTGTGTGTGTGTGTGTGTATATATATATATATATATATGGATATACGATATTGAACTTATTATGCATGTTATGGCCCTCAGCGGCGGGTCAGAAGTTACATGATTGATTCTTATCCCTCTCGGTGATAGTGTCTTATTGTTATGCTTCATTCCTGCCTTATATACTCGGTACATTCTTCGTACTGACGTCCCTTTGCCTGGGGCCGCTGTGTTTCATGCCACACAGGTGTAAATAGACGAGGTGAGGATCCTCAACTGTAGGTTGCCTCCAGATATCAGGTTTTGGTTGGTGAGCTCCACTTCTTCCTGGAGTATTGCCGAGTCAGGGTTTTGTATACGATATTTTGGTTTATTGGAACGTCGGGGGCCCTTTACCGACTTATATACTATGTTTATGTTTCCATTGAGTCTTTGCAGACAGATCTTGTGTGTAGTTTTAGTTATGATATGTCGGTCTATCATGACGGCCTTGTCGGCCCCATATATGTCATGACCCAAATCGGAGGGCCACGACGGACACCCGGTGTCTTACTTAACTGAGTACCAATGTAACGTATCTTTCTTATCACACCATCATAGGTATATGGGCCAGAAGGGCCTCCATGAGATAACCAAAATAAAACATAAGAGAATACTAGAGACAGGGTGACCCATAATGATATAGAAACTTATACATGTGACATACGGCCGTATAATGCCGACATGATCATTTGTACACTCAAAACATAGGCCGACAAGGATATACAAGTATCCATATGCATGACATCTATCTACAAGCCTCTATGAGTACATAAACGTCATAAAGGTCTGGACAGGGCCGCGCCATACCAATCAATACATGTACAAATCATACTGACCAAATAGGCATTTACGGAGCAAGTAGAGTGCACCAATACCTTCCGATGAGTTGATAGCCTACTAGGAGGACTGTTAACCTGTCTATCAGGACCTGCAGGCATGAAACACAACGTCCCTAGGCAAAAGGGATGTTAGTATATATAAAGTACCGAGTATGTAAGGCATGAAAAGCAGTATATAAAAGACATGAAAGAAACGTGGAGTAAATGACTCAACCTGTAACTTTGAATAGCTCTGTGAATCATGAAACATTTATAAAGTCATGCATGTGTGTCTAAATGTCATATCATGCATATGTATATGAGTACATAACATCATGAAGCCTTTGATGGCATCCCATCATATCATTTCGGCCTCTATGGCGAAATTATCAACGTAAACCAACTGATCAGGTGGTGGTGCGTATATAACACCATAACCTTTCTCCGTACCCCATATACAAATAATATATGCGTATATAACTGCATCTGGTCATGGATCAATGTACATGTATAAATGAATACAATCCATAAGGAAGAAAGTCGATAAGATCTCTCAAGATGTCATAAGATCAATATGCCTTCGGTTAATATCATGAAATAAACTTTATCAACTTACGTATTTTCTAAGACACATGAACAGACGATATAATAATAGGACACATGGGGAATCAAGAACATAGGCAACCCTAGTACTTCTAAGAATAGAGTCATTTGTGAAAGTTGCGTGTTTGCTCGTTTTGTTATATCATATGGATCATATCAAAAGGAAAGAAGGGATAACCTTAACATACCTTGACCCCATTGAGTCCTTAATACCTTCCAATAAACTCTTCAAACAACTCAACTCAATCTACCATAGCATAAGGAGATTCAAAATTAGTGGTGAGTAAAGGCTAAGTCCGTAACTTAAGCTAGTAGCTCGTTTACGTAAATTCGACAGAATCTCCCCTGTAACAAGGGCCTCCTCCAATAGCATATACCAACAACAAAAACCAGAGCAATCCGGAAACATATAAGTATCAATAACAAGACACCATATAACAACAACAAGTCACAACTACTTCACGACGAGCGGCAAGCTCTGATTGGTACCTATATACCCTATATCACCCCTTATAGACTTCTTACTTTAACTTAAAAGTATCATTAACATGATAATAAAGTCATTCATAAATGATTCCAGCCTTATA